ATGCCAAATATTCTTGGGCAAGATATTAACCCCAAATTGCTCTCCAATGCATCTATTGGAGTGTGAATGCTACTTAGAAAGCACTTAGAACAATGGGTGAATGGACAAGTTGTGTAAAGCGCTTTGAGTGCTCGGAAGAGTAGAAAAGCGCTATATACAAACCAGTCCATTTACTCCAGACAGGAAAATGAATGAATTTTGGCAGATGGCCGCCCCTCCCTGAGCCTGGTTCTGCCAGAGGTTTCTTCCTGTTAAAAGGGAGTTTTTCCTTCCCACTGTCACCAAAGTGCTTACTCATAGGGGGGTCATATGATTGTTGGGGTTTTCTCTGTATGTATTATTGTAGGGTCTACCTTACAATATAAAGCGCATTGAGGTGACTGTTGTTGTGATTTGGCGCTGTATAAATACAATTGAATTGAAAGATATGTCCCAAATTGTATATCAGCAGTCACCATTTACCAAACTGTGTTTGTTTGATTATTAATTTCAGTTATGAAAAAATGTTTTTACTACTCATGGCCACAATGAAGAAGCAATATTGTCACGACATTCTCTCGTTTGGCTTTAACAGAACCTCACCATGTGATGAATATTTTTCTATTGCACCGTTATATCTCTCCCAGAGAAATGCACTCGATGAAGGATTGGATGCTCTTTTCTAGTTGAAAGTCTGGTGCTTCAATTTTTTTTCAAAACCTGAGGTTTTACTGAAATTGGACCAGTGGCAAGGGCCCATTATGGTGACACAATGTCTAACAGTCAGCATATGAATGGTTGACATGGAGCGTCATTCTAAAGCTGTGTGAAATGGTGAATTAGGCTTCAGGACGGAATAACGAATAACGGCCCATTTTTTATTCCCTTTTTCCTGTTGCTGTTGTGCCAACACATCAGAACGTTCCGATGTCCTTGACCACTGGGCAAACATTAATGAGGAAACCTAATATTAATGGCTTGCATTTAATTTTGAACGCTTTGTGAACTTTGCAAAATCATCATGTTTCTGTGAAGACCCACTTTCTGGGACTTCATGCATTTTACTTGAAATGGTGTCTGCTATGCTTCAAGACTAAAGAACAATTTTCTAGTGCTTCACAGAGCTCGCTTTGACTGCAGCTATAAATATCAGAGCCTGGAAGAGCACCAAATGAATGTCGGTGTAGGAGTGAAGCATGCATTGTACCTGACAGGAGCCCCTCTCCCCAGGGCTGGGCGCAGCAGCACGGTGATGGTGCTCTCCGACTCACTCAGTGGAGAAGGGATGTCTTCATAGTCAAACACCGGAGCTGAGGACAGAAAGAAAAGTGGGAAAAAAATATGTGTCAAAAAAGGGCTAACATATGTAGAAAAAGAGCAGGATGATTTTCCGTACTCTTTTTGCAAATATGAAATATACTCTGTTTAGATTTGGGAGCTTCAACAGACACGTGGCTCCACTGCTCGATATTTTAGTAATGTTTTCTCCCCTACATTAAAAGATAAGAGTGTACCATCTTTGTTCATTACCCGCACTTGTCCCCAGCGTACTAGTGTGTGCAGGCCTCCCACACAGTGCCATTGACTGATGATGACTAGTAACAGCAGCCAACTACAGAGAAAACAAGAGGCTCTTATAATATAATTAGGACAGATCTCAATGCTGCACAACCTCAGCAAAGCTCTGGGGACAAAGGGGTTGAGTGTTCCCATCTCTGTTTACTACAGGGAGTGAATTAATTGGAGTACGTAGTGAAGCAAATGGTTATCCTGGTACAACAGATAAGCCAAAACAAAAAGGTTCCGTAATGGAAGTGGAAAATGTTTCTGCTGAGGCAAGGCATTAATGCCCGTCGTAAAAACCTGCTTGTGTAACCCGTCATCCGCAAAAACACACACTCATGCTTGCACGCAAACATCTGAGGTCTGCATTATATGCAGTCGTGCTCAGGAGTGTTTGAGCCAGTGTGTGTTAGGTGGTTAAAGCCAATGAATAATGAAAAAACTAACGAGTACAGCATTACACTTGCATGTGTGGTACTAAACTGGAACAGGAGCTGGCTGCCCAGAGCTCCTGACAGCGCAGCCAGGTGGGAGCATGTGATACTATAGATTTAATTGTACACTCTGACATCTGCAAGCCCACATAAGCCACTTTCTAAACCGAATGGAACAGGTACAGATAATAGAGATGGATGCTGTATTACATACAGCGTGGGGGTCAAAGAATTCTCCTGGAATATAAAAAGCACCAAGATCCAGCAGAACCAAAAGGTATTTTTATTAAGACAATAACGTTTACAATCCACCAATCTCCCTGTTCGGCATCAGAAAACACCAGACTAAAATCAAATTGTTCAATATATTCTGCATGCCTAGGGATAAAGTTATGTCATTGTCTGCTTTAGGAGACAGTAATAATAAATAGACATGAAACAAGCACACTTATCAGAGGATAAATGAAAAGGAAAAGAAGCAACAACTTTAAAAAGAGAAACTGCTGTAAACCATTAAACTGCCATAAAAGAAACAAATTAATAAAACTTTAACAATGAGCATTTTTTTTATATTTTACTTGAATGCATTGATTCTATTACTTTAATGTATAATATTTAATGTATTTAATGTATGAATGTAAAGGAGTTACTTTCAAAATTTGAAAGTGCACTGCAATAGCTCAAGGTTGGATCTAGAGTGACCTTTTCACAAATACGGGACACCTATACCACACTAGACAATCCAAAAGTCATTCAGTCTTCCTGAAAATGTGCGCCTTTAACCCCAAAATTAAACAGTAATGTGTCCCCTCAAAAGCAGGTTTTCGACTCTGCATTAGGCTGTTCAGAACAACCGTAAACATGTTTGACTTTCCCAAATTCTGAAGTTAACAAGAAGCACTCAGAGAGCGCAACCAGCGCAAGGCAACTCGCTCTCTGGGCAGTAGTGACTTTAAAGGAATAGTGTTGTATTTTGTATAGTTTCATTTTATTTTCTTTGTTCTTTTTTAGAAAATACTTTAAGGAGTTTGTAGTGGAGTAAAAAGTACAAAAAGCAGGCTTTGTTATTTGCATTGCTGAAACCCATTTTAACTTCATTTTGAGTGTATATGGATTTATTCGCGTTCTCTTGACAGTACTGTTTTTTAAAGATATGACATATTTTGGGGTCAACTTGCAACAAAGTCATGTAAAAGTGAAATGTTACATTTATATTTGATATTTGGATGCAAACTAAGACAGGTGCAGTAAATATAATGGCACGTCTCGCCATCATTTATCATTTCCTTGTGTCGGTTTACTATTTATCAAGCAGGACACGTTTGGGTAGGATTTGGTAGGATTTAGAATGCACATAATGTAAGTGCAATAAACTGGAAAAGGACTGCAATGGACTATAGTATGCAGAAAAATTCAGTACAACAGCGAATGTCACAATTTCCACTTTTTGCAAAGACTCTTTCATAAAATTCGTTGCGATACTCCTTCGCTGAACAATCCAAACTCTTATGCTTTGCTCTGTTTTCAGTCAATGTTAAGACACAGTCAAGGAAATTAATCTTTTACATTTTTTTGTTTGAAATAAGTTATGAAGCACAAATGTAATAAAAAGTGCAGAAACAAATTCAAGAAGAAACACTCAGAATGCAAAACTGTGCCAAGGCAGCTCGCTGTCTTTTACATACTGGGCAGCTAACGAGGCACATCGTTCTCTTTGTCTTGACAATACTTTCTTTTAGATACAACGTATTTTGGGGTCAACTTGAAGGATCTTGAAGGAGAGGTCAGAGGTAAATGAGACATATTTTAAATCTGTATGCAGTATTTTATTTTGACTATACACACCACACTTGTAAGAATCATAGTTAAGTTATGAGGGGTTTTTTTTTGCCAGTTTTTGACCAATAAATCATTAAGTTGACCTTGAAGACCTCGGTGCATGCAAGCCAAATTTTAATGAATTGTTAACATGACCCCACTCTACACCCCTACAAAGTTTTATCAGAATTCTTTCAAAAACTTTGAATGGCACACGTGCAAACACTGCCAAAAACATATTCTCCTTGGCAGAGGTGGAAAAATGTGGCAAAAATAAGGGTGACAAAAAAATAGAAGTTAAAGCACTTTCTAATAACCTAAACAATATGTCCAGTTCAGACTTTGTGTGCTGCCAGGACCTGCGGGGGTGCAGTGTTCCATCTCTGGTCAAAGATCCTGCATAGATCAGTTTGTTCTGGAAGATTTCTAACCATCCTGTTGTTGGACCATGATCTGTCGTGAGGTCCCATCGCTAACCGCTGCAGCCCTCAAGCTGTTTCAGAAATACTACCTAATTATCTGACTTGCTACCTAGACCTTGAAATACACTGCTGTCACACAAAAAGTCAACATCATTAGCTAAACAGCCTTGTTTAGTTCTAGATTTGGCACACAGTTAATTGTTTTTAGGAGCTCAATATGTAATTTGACAGAAGAAAATGTCTTTTTGTTTTGCTGTTCGGATTAACATAATCAGGTCATTTTAACAAGAAGAAGCCTGAAACATTATTAAAGCCTGCATCAGGAGATTTTCTACAGATACATCTCCAGAAAGAAGGAAAAAGCAATAACTGCAGACCTTTTGAGGAAGCTTTATTTTCTTTAACTGCTTTTGTGTGTGAATTCCTGAATGAATCCAAATCATCCACACACTCCATTTACCCCCCACGTGCTGTATGAGGGAGACACAACAATAGCAAGTGATGTTTCATCAGAGTAAACACCATTAGTGAAAATGGCCTGCAGACACCAATCAGGGGGAGAGTGTTTCACAATCCCCACAGACAGAACAGAATCTTGAGATCCATAGCGGTAACCTCTTCCCTGACAAACACCGCTTGTCTAATTTCTGAACAGCTGCGTGTCCTTTGAATGGAAAACGCAAGCCGCGGTGATGTGAACAAAGCTGTTTTCACCCAAACCATTCAAGCTGAACATTTGTACTTGGCTATAATTTGCGCTGCTGTTATTCTATCAAACTAAGCCAGTGTGCATCTGAAAGGTGTACAGAATGAAAATAATTTGTACAGTTTAAAATTAAATGTGCAATTCAACCAAAGCTCTTCAAAGGGAGGGAATTACATATCATGACATAGTCTCCTATCGTTAAAAAAAACATGTTTTTTTTTTTTCTTTAGACTTGTTCTGTCACAGCCACTGAAAATCTGAATTCATCATTAAATACCAGTCAAGAGAAAATCTCTTACGCACATGTACACACACACAGCAGTCAGTGCAGAGACTCACCAGAAATGTTGGTGGTGATCTCAGTGAGTGCAGTCTGGCCAAAGCCCTTGGCAGTTCTGGCCCGGACAGACACCAGGTAGGTGGTTCCAGGATGGAGGCCGGAGAACATGTGGTAGGTCTCATTTCTCAGCTTGGACACTGTACGGCGAGGACCTGGCACATTAATACCTGGATCTGATGACTCAATACTCTGGTAACTGATCTGAAAATAGAGAAAATGATGATACTGTATTAAAACGGTCCAAACCTTATCTAATCTAATCCAGACCTGTGCAAGTCTGTTCTTGCTTTTCTACCAGAAAGGTTCAGGCTCTTTTTGATCTTTTTAACAGGATATGATGTTCTTTTCATGCTTTAGCCCTATGTGACCCTGAACTAGATAAGCAATTAAGAGAAGGGATAATAATGTTAGCATATTAATATACCACTATGACAACTCATAGCAATTAAGAGGGAGCATGTAAGCCTGGGGGGAAATGGTGTGATCGATCCACTATCAAGTAATTTCCCCTAAAAAGAGAAGTGATGACAAATAAAGCTTAGTTGATCACAAAACCCACTAAGCTTGTCATTTTGTGGTTTCCATCAGTGAATCACAAACTATAAAACTTCTTAGATACACTAATATGCAAAAGTCTTGAGACACCCCTCATTTTGTTATATGAGAATTTTTCATCTTGATGCATGCTCAATCATCCAGGTAAGTAAATCCCCAAA